GCTAAGTTTAATTTATTTTTCATATTCCCTTCATTGGCTGCCTGTTTCTTTCAGAATTGTTTTTGAGATTTTGTTTTTATTTTAAAAGTCCACATCCCACGTATATCTCTGAGATCTCTGGATCAAAAACTTGGTAGTCTCGGTTCATGACTAGGGCAGACAGAACTTCTTTAGTAGCATATATGCTCTGGTGTGTCCAAATTAGTTTGGATACACATGTACAGCACTTTGTTTTAATGGAGGACCAAAACCGACTTAATAAGAAATAAAAGAATAAATACATAAATAAAATAATAAATATATATCCGACATAATAAGAAATAAAAGAAGGAATATAAAAATAAAAGAAGAAATATATATTTAGTTTTTCCTTTTCCTTACACATGAGTTTCCGTCAAGAAAAATAGATATTTTGCTTTGCCTTTTTTTGCTTCTCCCTTTTCTGCTCGCTGTTTTTCGTTTGCTGTTTTTCTGCTGCATCGTTATGTTAATAAGGAGATCTGCCTTCTATGTCTACTATTGGCCAATAGAGCTTTGGGACCAACGTCACTGCGTCAGACGTTGTGGGGCGTTTAGGTGCAGTCGCACGGTGCCATCTTTGCAGGTCACAGTTTATCAAACAAACAAACAAACAAACAAACAAACTTTATCCCGGTGGTTTTATTGTGTTACCGACTGCAGTGAAGTGAACCTCCGAGCGCTTGAGGAGGGAGTTAGAGAACGGCTGGCCGAAATTAGCGCTCATAAATCGGATCAACCTTGAGCTAAACGCTGCTTGCTCGGCGGATATTGGAAAATCCAATATCCAACTCGAAACTAACTTCACTGCAGTCAGTAACACAATAAAACCACCGGGATAAAGTTTGTTTTGGTCTGTGGCCTGCAAAGATGGCACCGAGCGACTGCATCTAAACGCCCCACACTCTGACGCAGTGACTTTGGTCCCAACGCTCTATTGGCCAGCTCTCCTCATTAACATAACGATGCAGCAGAAATACAGCAAATGAAAAACAGCAAGCAGGAAAACAGCAAACGGAAAAACAGCAAACAGAAATACAGCGAGCAGAAAATGGAGAAGCAAAAAAAGGCAAAGCGAAATATCTATTTTTTTGACGGAAACTCAAGTGTAAGGAAAAGGAAAAACTAAATATATATTTATTATTTTATTTATATATTTCTTCTTTTATTTCTTATGTTTTTTATGGATAAACAAGATTAGGAGGATGAAACTCAAATGTTGGGGGTGCAAGAAATATTGTACGAGGATGTCGGTAGAAACATTATGCATTATGTCATCACAAACAATTTGGAGAAAAACAAATAGAGGCGGAAACTAAGCGGCTTGTCTGTTTCTGGGGTAGATCTTCGTGTGGGACTTCCGGCGGAAGTAAACAGCAAGGTGCTAGCAGCGTTAGCTTCTTGGTTTCTTTCTGTTTATAGTCGCTTAGAAAACGGTTTTCCTGTGTGAAAAAACATAACTGTGCACACAATAACGTCTTCGGTTCACCAGAGAGCGACTTAATGCTGCTTCCGGAGAAATATTGAACAGCATCGTCCATTAGCAGGAAGAGATCGATAATGAGCTGAGACTGCAGGATAAAAGCTGGAAAACCCAAATCATCTGGGAACCTCCAGGTAGTGTTTGCTAATCAAAGCTATTCTGATGCTTTGCCACGTTGCTTAAATTATCTTCTAATTCATATTTAGATTATACAGCTATTGAGATTACTTTAAATTGCTCTAGGGCGAAAGCTAAAACACCTTGTTTTAAATTGAGCTTAATTACATATCTGCTTAAGAAATATGCATTGAAAAACATAAATTAAAATAAGGAATTCTGACAGCTACCGTGGTTTTAGACAGGATATTCTGATCAGCCTGGTTTTGTCCTCTCCTGAATAAAAAGCTGTTATTACATCCTAGATATTAGATTTAAGATGCTGATCCCATTTCAGCAAAGGATCAAGAGTATCTGAAGAGGAATGTTTTGGCGAAAGCTAATATAAAACAATTTGTTTCACAGCTTTGCAGTGTGGATGGGAAAAAGCTAATATTTACAACTATGAAATAATTATATGTATTAATCGGACCAGCTTAAAGCTGAAGTATGTAACTTAAAATAATATGTATATATTTACATATTTGTTCAAACTATCATCATTTTGTGACAACAAAATATGAGATTAATAATCTGAGAAGATCAAGATCCACCACCGCCTCTTAGTGTTTTACTGTTGTCTGAGAAAATGCACCACTCCTGGTCACAAACAGCCAATCAGAGCCAGGAGGAGTGGCTTAGAGCTCTCACTCATTCCAGTGTATGTGCTGCTAAATGTGCTAATGGCAGAAAAACAACTTAAGTTCCAGGAAAACTGTTTATCTGCTGCCAATGGTGCCATGCTAATGTTTGTTGCTGTAGTTCCTGATATGTCTTGTTTTCTCTCTTTCTGTGTAAAAGCAGACTTCTAGAATGTTTTTCCTTTATCCTTAGCTCTGTCCTCTATTCTTATCTTCTTTTGACTCTTAACTTTTTGTCTTGCTTCTCTTTCATTCTTCTCTTTTCCCTTTTCTTCTACAGACACTGCAAATTCATAGTTTAGATTTCTACACCCCTTTGTTACAGATTCAACCTCTTTCTTTATCTGCTGCATGTGGATCATGGTTCCTTCTGCTGTGTATGTTCTCAAAAAAGTCTGTTGAAGGGAATTCACACCATCCCATGAAAGTTTTTTTCACCCTAACCATACCTCATTTCACATCATTTTATGTTATGCACTATAAGCAATGTGTTCATAACCAAGCTTAAAATCAAGTGTTCCAACACATACTGTTGATTGAAATTTTAACATGTTTTTGTTTTTTGTTTTTCTTATTTCAGAGTTGCTATTATTAGCAAGATGTTCTTGCTAATCAGACCAAAACAAAATGTCTATTTTGGACCTGAGGGGAACTGAATCTCTATAAACTGAAGGAAGAGCAGAAAACCTGGAACAAACACGAGTAAAAGAATCAGAACCTCTCCAGATTGTAAAGGTAGAAGATAAGACATGGATATTTTAGTTACAACAGGTTCTAGATCTTTTGAAAACAAAGAACCAGTAGAACCAGAATTGCAACAAATGAGGCGAAATGATTGTCAATCAGAATCTCAACAACTGGTTAAGATTGAGGCTGAAGGCATCAGTCTAGATGATAGCCAGGATGCACCAAAGCAGGAGACTGAGATCATAATGGTAACTGTTTCTGGATCTCTTGAAATCAAAGGAGAACAGCTAGAATTAAAATTGGAACAAAGGAACGAAGATGATTGTCTACCAGAATCTCAGCGATTGGTAAAGATTGAGGCTGAACGCATCAGTCAGGATACAAAACAGAATTTACCAAAGCATGAGCTTGATTCCATAATACTAAATGTTTCTGGATCACTTGAAATCAAAGAAGAACCAGTGGAGCTGGAATTGGATCTAATGAAAGAAGATGATTGTCAATTGGGATCTCAACAGATGGTAAAGGCTGAGGCTGAAGGCATCAGTCAGGATGACAACCAGGAGGTATTTAAGCAGGAGATTAGTACTGTAATGGTGGCCGATTCTGGATCTCTTCAACTCAAATTGGAACCAGGAGAACGAGATCCTGAATATTTGAAGGAAGAGGACGAAGGATCAGGACCTCAGCAGATGGGAAAGAAAGAGGCTGATAACATTGCCCAGGAAGTACTGAAGCAGGAGAATGAGACCTTAACCGTAACAGCTTCTGGAGATGAATCAGAGTACCAACAACCTGAACTGAATGGAAAAAAAATCCTGTGTCAGAACATCGTTAAAGCAGAGCACCATCAGGATATAAAAACTGAGAAAGCTTCAGGATCCAGCAGAAATGAACAGCAACAGAAGAGAGCTCAGAAAAGCAGAGGTCAATGTGATGATGAAGAGAAAATGATAAAGGACAAAAAGAATGACAAAGTAAAAAAATGCCAAAAATGTAGTGTTTGTGGTAGAAATTTTAACCGCAAAGAGCATTTAATGGTTCACATGCGAACCCACACAGGTGAGAAGCCTTTCTCATGTGTAACCTGTAGGAGGAGCTTTAATCGCAAAAATAGTTTGAATATCCATATTAGAACTCACACAGGTGAGAAGCCTTTCTTGTGTCCAAGATGTGGGAGGAATTTTACTTCCAAAAGTAGTTTGAATGGCCATGTAAGATCTCAAACAGGTGAGGAGCCGTTCACATGTAAAATATGTGGAAAAGTTTTTTGTCTAAAACGTAGTTTGAGTAGGCACATAAAAAGTCATACAATTGCCAAAAACCTTTCTTGTGAGGGGCAAAAGTTTAATTCTCCAGACCAAACTCCCCCTGAAGAGGCTCTAACTCAAACAGATTTAATCTGTGAGAGCTGTGGAAAAGTCTTTATTTGTAAAACTACATTGACATGGCATATGAAAATTCATACAGGAGAAAAGCCTTTCCCTTGTGTTACATGTGGAGAATCTTTTCAGGAAAGCTGCCTATTGACTAACCACACTAGGGTGCACAAAGGAAAGAAACCATTTTGTTGCACTATATGTGGAAAATCTTTCACTAGAAGAACTCATTTGAATATCCACATTAGAAATCACACAGGTGAGAAGCCCTTTCCATGTGGAAAGAGCTTTTCTGCACAAAATAGTTTGAAAAGACACACAAGATCTCACACAGGAGAGAGACCTTTCTCATGTTTGACCTGTGGAAAGAATTTCAGTCAAAGACGTTACTTATCTGCTCATTTGAAAACTCACACAGGGGAGAAGGCTTTCTCATGTTTGGTCTGTGGAAAAAGTTTTCGTAAAAGACATAACTTGTCTGCTCATGTGAGAGCTCATTCAGGAGAGAAGCCTTTCTCATGTATAACCTGTGGAAAATCTTTCAGTAGGAAAAATAGTTTGTGTCTCCACAAAAAAATTCACACAACTGAGAAGCCTTTCTCATGTATAATATGTGGAAAATCTTTATGTAGTTCTAATGGTTTGAAAATTCACATGAGAACTCACACAGTTGAAAAACCTTTTTCATGTATTACCTGTGGAAAAGGTTTTAAATGGAAAAGTAGCTTGTATATTCACATGAGAAGTCATACCGGTGAGAATCCTTTCACATGTATAACTTGTGGAAAGGTTTTCACTAAAAAATATAGCTTGTATATCCACATGAGAACTCACACGGGTGAGAAACCTTTCTTATGTATAACTTGTGGAAAATCTTTCAGTAGAAGAAATAGTTTGAATAGGCACATGAGAACTCACTCAGTTGAGAAGCCGTTTTCATGTATTGACTGTGGAAAAGGTTTCAAATGGAGAAGTGGTTTGAGTTACCACATGAGAACGCATGGAGATGAAAAGCCTTTCATGTGTATAACCTGTGGAAAAGGCTTCACTGAAAAATATAATTTTGATATCCACATGAAAAGTCACACTGGTGAAAGGCCTTTCTCATGTCTAACCTGTGGGAAAACTTTTAGTAGGAAACATACTTTGAAAAGGCACATGAGAACTCATGTGAAAGTGCCTGTGTAATCTTTAATTTCCCTTCTGTGACTTAAGGTAAAACTTTTACCCAAATAAGTAGCTTAACCCTTTTACGCCGGAGTTTCAAGCGTCTGCCTAAATAAACCTTCCTTATTTTAATTCTAAGTAGTTCTTTAAATGTCCATCCATCCATCCATCCATTTTCTGAACACCCTTGTCTCTCAGTGGGGTCGGGAGGGGTGCTGGTGCCTATCTCCAGCTTCTTTAAATGTCCTGTGAGATGATATACTTACCCATGTATCGATAACAACCGGAACTTTCAATATCCAGCAAGTTATTTTCGCAATATTAAACGAGTGCCCCCG